GGCACCCTGTCCTGGGTTGTTCCCTGCCTTGTGCCCTCTGATGGGTTGGCACCCTGTCCTGGGTTGTTCCCTGCCTTGTGCCCTCTGATGGGTTGGCACCCTGCCCTGGGTTGTTCCCTGCCTTGTGCCTTTAGCCTCTGGACCCCCCGCAACCCAGAACAGGATGAGTGATTTCAGAAAATGGACGGATGGGCAGCATTAATCCCCTACACCATAGCTTACGGTTTATTTGGCACATATTTATGCAAAGTAATTATATCTCTGTGTATTCAGCAGCAAGAGTGTTAATCAATATATGTGGTCATCAATACAAAAACATAATTTTGTGCAGTAAATATTTTGCACCATTGCTACAATGACATAGAAAAATGCCATATAGTCATTATATATTTGATAACATACTTTAAGTGCCATTTGTATATAATTGTAAATTGTCTAAATATAGTTAGTTTTATGCAGAGGTGGACAGTTCAGATCCAGTAAGTTAAAATCCAGACCAAGGTTTTGTTTCAACCATCCAGATGAGTACTCTATGACTGTGACCCTTTATGCTCAACTGGTTGGTAGAAACAAAATCTTGGTCTGGATTTTTACTTTCTGGTGTTACGTAAAAAATTGGGCTTTCTACTTACTCTTAAGATGTTAATAAAAGGCATCATTGAGAAAAGCCACAATTTCTTTCTAAAAATTAGTATGAAAATAGTTTTTCCATTTTATTAAGTGTAATATCTACACTTCTGGGCCAAGCTGCCATGCAAAGACAGAGAGATAGACTCCCGTAACCTGAAGTGACAACCTATATACTTTGTTGAAGCCATTATGCTGTGGCCTAGGGCAGGACACCTGTTTCTCGGAATGCTGGAATTAGGTTATTTATACCGGAGTATTAAAGTAATACTTCAAGCTAGCTCGCAATAGCAGAATTCAGTTCTTCTTTTTTTCTTTTTGAGTATGTGGAGAAGAGAAAAAATGTGCATTGTGACTGTCTGGGTTCTGGCATCTCTGTTTCTGTGAAATGCATGTGAGATAAATAGAGAAAGGGGGAGAAATGACAGATGCACTTCATGCCTGAGTGGCACATTAGTGCCCCTGTACAAGCAATATCCTAACTTACTGTATATACCTGAATATATAAGGCCGAATACCTGAAGTCGAGTCAGTGTCTATTTATGATGCACATTTAAAAACAGCCCCAGCTCATAAAAGTGCTGTACAATTTGACAAAATCAAAAACATATTAAATTGGAAAAATAAAAGTCATAACATGGCACCATAAAATAAAAACAATGAAAAAATCTAATGCAGAAGTGGATTAAATAGAAGCAAAAAACAAATATAAAAAGTAAATGCATAAATATTGATATATAAATTAATTATATAAATTATGGCTTTATGTTAAGTGTGATTACCTACAGTCTGAGGGAGTCTCCCATGCTGGTATGATGTATTGGTGGGACTGCTGCTGTGTTCTCCTGCTGAAAGCACTGGTAGGGCCTTCAGAACTGTTGCTGATTACAGAGACTGATACCTGGGGCTTTTCTCCGCGGAGGAAGCTGTCTCAAATGGAGCATGGTCTGCACTGGTCACAACGTGCAAAATGCAGCAGCTCCTTGCAGGTTGCGAGATGTTCCAGAGTTACACCTACGGCGAGCATCATATGAAAAAGGCAGACTTTAACCGGAAATACTGATAGCATCTGTTATGCATTATCTACTTTGCGATGCACTGGTGTAATCAAAGTGCTGTGTTCCAGTGCATTCAGATTCTGTTCAGATCCTGCAGTTTGTGATTGGTATCAGAATCTGCATCAGAATCAACTTATTTTCAAGTATGTTTACAGATGAGATGTACAGGTGAGATGCTCTCAGGCCCGTAACAACACAGGGGGGGGGGGGCTGCTTGCTCCAGCGGCTTGTTAATCGGCTCCCCCTCAGGAGATGCCGCACCAGGCATCATCCCACACCCTATCTCACACCCCATCCCCATCCCACACCCTATCTCACACCCCGTCCCCATCCCATACCCTATTTCACACCCCATCCCCATCCCACACCCTATCTCACACCCCGTCCCCATCCCACACCCTATCTCACACCCCGTCCCCATCCCACACCCTATCTCACACCCCGTCCCCATCCCACACCCTATCTCACACCCTATCCCCATCCCATACCCTATCTCACACCCTATCCCCATCCCACACCCTATCTCACACCCCGTCCCCATCCCACACCCTATCCCCATCCCACACCTCATCCCATACCCCATCCCATCCCCATCCCACACCCTATTTACAGTGCCTATGAATTACCATGTGTCATTTGCAGGGATCCTATTCTTGACCTTTTTTTCTAAGAACAAGTTCTTTCATTCAGAGAAATCCAGTAGATATGATCGAAGTCGATAGATTTTTATATTTGTGTAATTTGTGTATAAATTTTGCTGATATTAAATGTGTAATACTTTCATAATTGTTTTATATATTGATGTTTCATTTGTGTGGAATAATTCATTAGCATGGTCAAAGGTTACTTAGTGAGATTCTGAGACATTTCCATGGGAGTAATTCAACGTTTGAACTCCAGGCGGCAGTGTTTGCTTATGAGCCAGCTGCTGTGACTGGGAGGTGGTCAGTAGCTCAGTCGACTTGGTTGTTCCGGAGGACCTTTTATATATTCCTGTGTATAAGAGGCTCGACATCATAAGCCACCCCCTGCACACATCTGTATAGCACAACAGGAAATGAACACTGTATTGTTCTTATGGGAAATCGTTGTGCTGAATCTGATCATGTGACTTCTGCTGTTCTGTGGCCATCAAGGGACAAGTATTGCATTGTGGGTCTTTAGGCATTAAGGAACAATATATGTTTCCTATTTGCCTTGGGAAACAAATAAAATGTCTGCACCAGTTTATTTTCTCCCCTCTCCAGTAGCACCTCTGGTAAATGTCTTTGAAACACAATCCACCTCTTTCCATTTTCTTACATCGGGATTCTTAGTTTGGGATTTTATCCCCTGCAAAACTCTCTGTGGTGCATTTCCTCTTTCCTCACAGGTTCATGTGATTTTCTATGAACGTGAGCAGGACTTTATTATTGATATAAATCAGGTTCACATTGGGCCACTAACAGTGAAACCTCAGTTTCATATGTTTACTAAGACTTTGTAAATCATACTGACAGAACAATGAAAAATCCTGCATTATTTATTATAAAAATTAATATTATAACAATTATGTTGGAGTAACATTTTTCTATAGATAATTGTCAATAATTGGACATCTGTACAATATAAAATCTCAGAATATTTGAGCTATTTTGAATTTAATTAATGTTGTGTTTTATTAAAAGCACAGTACCTTAATACAGCACCAATATTTCCATTTTTTTTCTTTTAATATTCCCACGTCTGTGGTGGATTTTGATGGGTGAAATGTCTTCCACAGCGAGGTCCAGAAAGTTACACTGAAAAAGTCACCATTTGCCACTGCTTTCTTTTTCAGTTGCTCAAGCTTGGAACTATTTGCCTCGTCGTTTGTTAAATAAATTGCTTATTGATCTGTGACCAGTAGGACAGAAATAAATAAATTCATTAACAAACAAGAGTGCACTAATTCTGTTTGCAGGTACCATTACCATTATACAATTATTCGATTTCATGCTTAACACTTGTGATTTCTCAGATGTTAATGACAAGGGCCAGAAAAATATGTCCATGTAACCTTAGCTTCCATTCAAATGAAACTTGAACTAACCTTCCAGTGGTGAAAGTTATTATTTGCTACTAACTATGCGTAATATCACCTCTCTGGGCAACATCCGTAGGGCTCAATGTAATATTGTGTTAGTAAATATTTGCTTTAAATCTATTGTGAGTGCATTCGGTTTACAAATCACCCAGGAAGCCAGCAGAGTCGCTCTCCTTTCCTGCGGATTTGAGTGCTGTGACAAAAGTGCTTTTTGATTATATGCAGGAACAACAAGGCAATTACATTTTTATAACTATAACCACAATTTCATACCACAGGTACTCAATAATGTAAAAACTGACCATAAAAGAGAAGAATAACAATTAGAAAATTACAGATAGTTTATGATACTCTGCAAAATTATGTTTTGGATGGTTGAATGTGAAATGCACATTACAGAAATGAGTGAAGAAATTGTGGTGTAATTGAAAATTTTCACAGAATTCTCCATAAGTTAAAATAATGAACTCTTGGAACAGGATCATCCAACTCATAAACCTTTATTTATAGCAACTTATTGGCCAATTTATCAAATTAACAACTTGCTACAAACAAGATTTATATCTAATGTAAACCACATTTATTACATTTGCTTAAAGTATTTAGCTAAGCACATTTTTCATCCAGAAAATGTTGCATAAATTATGCTTCATGGTAAAATGCTCAAGATTAACAATGTATAGTCTGTTTTTGTTTTGATAATTTAAAGATGCAGTAAAATAGGTATTAGAAAGAGAACGTTTTATATCCTAATGTCATATTTCCCTAATGTATAGAAATAAAGACAATAAATATCACCCATAAAGGGGACATTATCTCTGATGTTGCAAAGTCACAATAATGACCCCGATATCTTTTCCGTTGAAACAGGCCCAATTATGGATGCCAGGCCTTTCAAAAGTTGTACTTAACAAAATGAGATCAAGGTACATTCAGATGTCCCTGTGTTTTCATCTGCAATTAACCATAGATTGATTTTTGTTTGATTTAAAACAGGATGTACCTCTCTGAACTGAACTGATACTGCACTAAGCATTCGAATCCAGTATAACCCTTATTGCTTTTCAGAACCGGGGGGGGGGGGGGGGGGGCACTCTTAGCTATTTAGTATGAAAAATATGTGCTATAATCCTTCAATATGGCTTTGATTAATACTGGAGGGTCACGTAAAAAAGATAAATATGGATGTTGCATTATTTTGAAAAGGCATATATACCTATCATGCAAACAAATATCTCAGTCAAGACAGCCTTTCAATATATATTCTTAAAACACTCAAAGGTGTTATCACTGCTTTGTGGCCCAGGAACTAATGCTCTCTTTATTATTTGAATAATTAATAAATATGCATACAAACACTTAAAATGGGCAATACACCTTTGTGCACCTTGGAACAACTCGACGAGTACATTTAAATATTTATTAGCTCATTTAAAACATAGCTGAAAACATCACTCACAAGCTGGAGTTATAGTGATAGGTAATTAGATTCAAGGCCTTTTCAGTGGAGCTGGATTCTACAATGTGGTCACACTATAGTAAACTAGTTTATAATTAGCTGCAATGGCAGAATAAGTTTCCGAGGCCCTTCCAGGCTATGCTAGTGTTACCTGAAACAAATTTCATTTTGTCTGTGGGCAGAACCCAGAACTTCTGCAGAAATCAAGCCTCCACTACAACGGGTGTTTCAATTTGGATTTAACACAATTACAGATACACAATCAATGCAGTTTTCTTGTAGAAAAACACCAGTTGTGTATTTTTGAAGGAGAAATGCTCACACTCCTATGTTTTTGAACAGTGCTGGATGTGCTTTAAAATTCAAATAAAAGTTTAATTTATCATACACGGTATATGACTTGCACTCCGTGACATAAAACACAACAGTGGGATACAAATGTAGCAGGTTTAGACAGGGTTAGGTAAACTAATGTAAACGAATAAAAAAAGGTTCTTGTGAAGTCAGTGAGGAACACACGTGTTGTAAAGAAAATAAACACCACTGGAATCTGTAATGGTAATTCATCCACAGGCATTCACCTGAGAGAGGGGAAAAAGTCGTTCAGCTCAGAAAAGGACATGAGACATTCGGGAAGTTTAATGTGATCGAATAAATATTTAATTCTTGTTTGCTTGTGGGTAGTCTTCAGAACAAATTAATCTCCTGAGGGAACGGGCAGATTGGCAAAGAAACGTAACAGCCTTTCACGTGCTCTTGATAGAAATCTTTAAATATCCCCATGTAGCCTCTTATTCTATATAAAAATCTTTATGTATATTATGTGTAAGAACCTCATTCATTTTACGTTAGTACAATGGCTACCACAAGGCTCACCTAATGAACCTGCAGCTTTATATAAACTGCTTTTGTGATCCATTGCACCTTTACATGCAGAAACAAATTGCTAGTTTAACAGTCGATCTGAATTTTCTATAAATACACTGGTACTGGTGTCTACTGTCGCTTCCTCTTTCAGCGTCTACTCTCAGAGCCCTTTGCTTTGTTACTTAGGTTAGCAATAAAAACAGTTTGACTGTCTCAGGGTCAGAAAAAACAGATGTTTATTCTCCTGAAGTCTTCCTAATGCACAGAGGAGCCCTTGTGAGATATATTTACAGAGCAGTTCAACACACAATCAGGAGGTGTTTGCCTTCAAGTGAGAAAAAAAAATGTTTTCATCAGTATTCTGTGGCACTGGATAAAAGTACTGATTGATTATAGCCAGAAAGAACAATTTGCACTAATTTCATCATGGTTGAAAAATGGTGAGATGTTCTACACACCACGGACAGTGTTGCTTTCGTGAAGTCGTCAGGAAAAATTAATGCAATTAACTTGCCCTTAGGTGCAAAGCCGACTCCTGCATGTGACATTGCAATTCTTTTATCTGCAGGGAGAGGAAAAATAAAAAATAATTTTATTTCTGTGTTGCCTTCCCCCCTCGATGAGGCATTTTCCTTCAGCAGATGTGTAACCTTTGTTTTGAATACCCAGCAATGCACTGGGCATGGTAACAGTGGTCAGTTTTGCTTAAAAGCACAATGACCATACCACCAAAGTGAAATTAATGTGGTTCAGTGAAGTATTTAGGCAGACCAGACCGGCATGTTCTGTAGATGCCTTTAAACAAAGTTCCATTTAGCTAAGGAAGGCGGTATCTGCTATCAGCCTGACATGAGAATGAGCTGGAACAAATGCTTCATGCAAACCCTGTTCTGCACCAGTTTCCCTGCACTTACAATCAAAATAACAATCAGAACTCACTTTATTGCCAGTATGTATGAACATACTAGAATTGTCTGTGGTCCAGTGCCGAACAAGAAGTACATAACAGTATTCCAAAACATACAGGGAAACACTATACAAAACACTTTGTGTAAAAATAGGAAAACAAATAGGAATGCAAACATTTCCAGAAGACCATTATACAGAAGGCAAAGTGCAAGACATCTTAAGATAATAAAAAGTAACATAGTGCAAGAAACGTAAATTAACTAGTACAAGACCAAAAAAAAATGGTAGTCCATTATGGTACAGGTCGAAATGATATTGCACATATATGATGTCAGTCGAGGGGAGGGGGCGAATTGTCCCGGGGTGACGGGACTGCACCTGCAAGGATCATGAGACAATGACTGTTCATCATCATACATCCTTCCATACTGTTAAACCACCTTTTTGTTTCTTTGCTTAAGCAAATAAGCTGCAGATGCAGTCGTACACAGGCATCTCTCCGGTCGGCTCGTTGACGGGGTGTCGGAGTACATGGGATGGAGACGTCACATTGATTAATAACTCTGCACAATTACAGCACTCAGTTTCCTCAACCTTTGAGCCATTTCATAAACATAGTGCGACAGAAAGGCTGTTATTTTAGCTCCTGACAGACAGACGTCGCCTCTGTGTCGACATCAACCTGAGACTTGACCTGATTCTGTATTTTTCTGATGGATACACACACACCCAAAGTGACGATCGTCTCCATAATTTTACATAACGTTGAATGAAGTTTCTTTGGCAGAACAGAATGGCACGTTTTGTATAACCTTTATATAGACTGACTTTTTAGTACTCCGAGAAATGGAATTTAAATACCCTTGGTATTGTACAGCTAACACAGTTTCTTCCCCTCTGTTCGTTAACTTTCTCAGCCTAAGATTAGCTTTTTTTAAGGAAATATCTTGATTTTTTAAATTAGACTCCAAATAGAAAGGTATAATTACACTCTAGGAGACATAATATATAGGCCACAATTTAACTGTGGGGTTTAAGTTTCATTAGTGTTTAATTACAGTGGTTGCAAACTATTATCCTTTGTCAAGTATTACTAAAGGACTCCATTAACCATTATCAATCAGCACTGGCCAATCAGGAAACGGCGTGTAGATATGCACAGCAGAGGAATACTGATCAAGGAGCATGGAAAGCGGGCTTCAGTTTTGCAGTGACACATGGGGATTTACTATAGCGAAAGCACTGTAAACGTGTGAGATATCGGATAACAGCCACCCCCATATCTGGAATAATTCTCCTGTGACAGTGGCATCGTTTACACTATAAACTATGAGGTACTTTGTGAAAGATGTTACAATTGCACACTTGTCAAATGGGATTTAGCGGAACTGACTTCGTGTAAGTGGATGGGACCCAAATAAATGGTAAATTGGTTCCTGTCCCTGTGTATGGGTATGTGTGTGTGTCTATAGATCACAATAAGAAAGACAGAAGCGAGTTATAGAAAAAGTACCACCCTAAAAATAGTATAAATTAATTGGCAAATCAGTAGAGTGGATCTGCCTTATATGTAATTAGTTTTTGGATTATTGCTGAGGTAAAACTATTTTTTCTAACTAATTTTTCACAAGGAGCAGTAGTTGAAAAGGTAATCAAACCTTTATTTTAATGATGCTGATAGGCCATTAAGCATTAAAGGAATGTCACAGTATCGAACCTACTCATAATTCTGGAAACTCTCTGCTGATTTTGTAGGGCTACCAGCATAATTATAATTTTAAGCCGACTGATGACGATGCCATAGGAGAGAGTTTGACAGAGTCCTTATAAATTGAATGGCTGTAAAATTCAGCATCTTCTGTGAACAAACATGGACCAGAGCCAGCATGCTAACCCTTGCCTTTGTCTACAAGGCTGTTTTGGACAAGATGATGTTTGTTGACTGCGGTCTACAGCAGTTATAAGTCTTTAAGATCCATGAAGGTGGCAAGTCCCTGCGTCCGTAGGGCTGATGTCAGTAGCGTCTGGACCAGGGCAGATGAGGAGATCTCTGTAGACGGATAAAGGGCAGGAGATGAATCCTGTCAGTTGCGTCAGAAGGGAGGTCTTGACTTGGCTGTGGAAGATTGCTAGAATGAACAGTGACGTGGTTGAGGATCACATTGTCACCACCATGAAGCCCAGGCCTTCCACTTAGCGCTGCGTGAGTACTGTCCGAGGACGTAGTCAGGGGGGGGGGGGGGGGGGGGGCATAGATCCCATGCCTGGGGGCCATAGATCCCATGACGTTGACACGCAAGCACACCCCCTGTCAGCAGTGCAGTGAAGTGGCATGTAGCTGGCTTTATTGATATGGTATATGCCCAGTTGTGATGGCATAGACCTTTCAGCACTGCCCCCTTGAGGCATGGGCTGGTATGGAGGCTAATCGGGGAACAAGGCCCTTCTGTAGCTAGCAAGATGATGAGGGAGAATGGACATTTGTATGGTGGGAGTGAGATGTCCTGATTCAACACGTTACTACGGGGATCACCAGTTTATGCACACTTATCACAATCATGCATTGTCCACAAATTCCCTCCATGTTCTGTACATATTGATCCATTGTGTTAACCAGTTTATAGTGCCCCATGGCTACAATGGCCATTGTATGATATCATTTACACACTCTAAGTACTGACACTTAAGATGTCCACCAACTAAATTTGCATTCTGGAAAGTATTTTCTTTCAAATGTTCTTATAGGCTTACATAATAATAATAATACTAATAATAATAATAACACATCATCCATCCATTTTCCAACCTGCTCATCCTACTGTGTTGTGGGGGGTCCGGAGCCTATCCTGGAAGCAATGGGCACGAGGCTATTATAATAATAATAATAATAATAATAATAATAATAATAATAATAATAATACTACTACTACTACTACATATTATTATTATTGTTATTATTTTGCATCTAACCAACTAATTTTGGAATTTTTGAAAATTCTGGAAAGTATTTTCTTTCAAATGTTCTTACAGGAATAATAATAATAATAATAATAATAATAATAATAATAATAATAATAATAATAATAAAGCTTCACACTACGTGCTGCTTGTGAACTAAGGACTGCCACAGTTTGTTCCCATTGAAAATGCATCACTCGATGCCACATTTTCTTAAAGTCATTATACATTTGAGAACGAAATCAAGCACTGATTTAAAAAACTGAATATCACACCTGGAGATATTTGAAGCAGAACAATAAGAATTGTAGTGTTATTATAATGAAAGATGCTGCTTCTATTTAAGTTGAACATAAGTGATTAGAATCAGATTCTTGCCCTTAAAATGCACTGTGAAAAAAATATATTCAGTGATAATTACAATCAATTGCATAGTGTAATTTCACAACTGAATCAAACATACAGTAATTGTGTCTAGAAGGCTGTAGTGAACACAGTGAGTGTTTTGAAAACAATGTAGCCAATCAGTAAAATCTATTGATAAATGGCATTCCTACATATTTATTGTTACACAGTAAAGTGCAACCAGGCATTTAACCACAGATCTTAAACATGGGGGCATCCTGATGTATGCCTAGGGTCTAACGGTCCAAAGTGTTGTGAACTATATGTTTATATGTCAGTATAGTTATTAATCTTTTAATGAACTCAAATTCATTCTCTCAGCTTCCAAGAGCTATAACAAGCATGTGTACACCATCACAGTAAAGCAACAATCTAAAAGTGAGTTCACTAATTGAGTATTTTAGGAGTGGAATTCTACATACACCCAGATCACCCCTCAGAAGTGAGTCTGAGACCCCTTTACTTAGAATGTAATGAGCTCTAGTTTTGATATGACAATGCCCAAGTTTACCTACAGAGGGCACCATTAACCATACAGTAGGTGAGATTTATTATTGTTATGGAAGCGTATGGTTATATTCTCTGTATATGGGCTGCATTTCCTCCCTTTTCAAATACCTTGCTGGCCATTGCATTGAATGAGATTTTTAAAGTTCCTGCAAATTTACAAATGTATTGCACAAATCCCTTTTGTACAGTATTAGACACATGGTGTGCAGGTTTGTGGGAACTTTCCCAAGTCAGAATGGCAGAGTGTGCATATCACATCGTACAAGCTAATACTGCCCCTCCTTTGCCTGTGGATTCTCCTATTCACCCCAACCCAAATAAACTTGCTTTCCATGTTATCACTTCTATCGATCTCATGTTTGTTGGTGCCCGCAGTTGCAGACTGGGATCTTGGCTGAATGATACTTCCTCATTGAAATGTTAACACTGCGGAGCCTAATTTGGCAGATTCGCTGCTGCATTAACAGCAGTGGGGCTGGCAGACGGCTGACAAGAGCGCTGCTTTAATCAGTCAACCAATGGCAGGATGCGGCGGCAGCCCAGAATGAAAGAGAGGAAGACAGGGAAGCATTTATGTGCCACATTACCAGGATCGGTACACATCCCTCAGGCTGAGAGTCTTCTGTCAATGGAAGTGCCCGTTCTTCGCCTGGGTGCTGATACTAATCAGGTAAAAGTCTTCTACTGTTGTGGTGCTCAGGCATGTGCTTTGTGTGCCAGTTATGTTATCCTAACCCTTAATGTGCTGGGTGATGTGCTTCAGCGTGCCTGCATTGTGTAGGGCTTCTGCGTGTGTGTGTGTGTGTGTGTGTGTGTGTGGGTCTTCATGCTCACCTTCAACTTCCAATGCACTGACTGCATTTGGGTGTTTCCAGTTTCACATTCCGCTGGATCTCCAGAAGATTCCGGAACTTAATTTGTCAAGGCCCTGCCAAAGAATGGGGGTAGTAGTGAGCTTTATTTAAAAAGTGCATTTCACTGTTCATAACACCCGTGCTGGGATGATCCTGCAGGGTCGGAAGATGGGCGAATGAACGAGACATCAGTCAGACGCATACTTATACACATACAAAAAACATCCGTCCATCTTTTATCTTTCATAATGATTTACCCAATGCAGGGTCCCAGTGAGTCTGGAGCCGGTCCCAGAAGGCAAAGGCAGGGCACGTCCTGGATGGGATGCTTACAGAGCCAGGAAAAAACGTTGTAATGAATTCTTTAGCTTCTGCATAGTCTGTCTTACTCTCCTACACGACTGACACGTCTATACAGATGAGAGCACAGCTTGGGGTCAGAATATGAGGTCAGCCATTCATGCAGTAGCCCTGGAGCAGTTCTCATGGTTAAAGGCTTTGCTTAAGGGTCCAACAGCGATATGAGCACTCTGCGGGCTGTTGGATTCAAACTAGCAACCTCCCGGTCAAAGATATAGAGAACTAATCTACAGGGACACACCATTAAACTGAACTAGTGACCCGAGGATTTCCATCCTAAAGCTTCTGCAGTCCAAACTTTTGAATGGGGGGGGGATACTCATCTATAGCCAGAGATCAGGCGATCAGTACACTCAACTGCTTTCAGTTTCATTGTATGATGAAATTAAACATAGAGCCACTGAAAAATAATATGTTAGTTATTGTAATTAGAATATGGAAGTCTAGTTAAAAGTTCCTGAAGTTGTTCCTTGAGAATGAACATAGCAGTGCTTGGATACAATTCTGTGCATGGATACAATACTATTATAATTTTAAAATTTGTAACTTTGGGTTGAGCATTGGTGGAGGGGGGGTTGTGGTCTCCACCCATTCACGGGGGTCCACGGGGTTGTATTGGCTGGTTTTGATTATTGGGGGGCTTACAAGCCCCCCATCTCCCTTCAGTTTACTCTCACGTGTTAACGTACTGTATTCATTTGGATTTACAGTTATGATTTTCAGAAATTGACTTCAGAAAGTCTCTGTCACTACACAACAAAATGTCGCTCTAACCGCAAAGACCACCTCAGCATGTTCAGTATAGGCATGTGTCTCAGTCTCTGACCAGCAAAAAGTTAATGATCATTTCACGCAGGCTGTAGTTCTGATATCCGATATCTGCAGTATGTGTGTGTGTGTGTGTGGGGGGGGGGGGGGGGGCTTGCATTGCTACCTGTCTCCTTAACACTGTTGTGTCTGTCTGAGTACAAGAGGCTGGGTTTAGAGACCACCCTGCTCCAATTATTGCATATGTTGCATTCAGAATCTCCTACAGCGAATATACTACAGTAAGACAAAAAACTGACACAGCACGCAGTGTTGATGGGTGAAGGACGAGGGCTCTATGACCTGGGGTGCCTGTGTGACCTTCGTCGTGTGCCCTTACAGCGAGCCCCCCTGCGTGTCACACTGATGAGGGCAGGGTCATGCCTTCTGCGCTGCCCCTGGTTCAGGGTTCGTCATAAGTCACGTGCCACCTGCACCGGCATATTAAATTAACCCCCCCAGATGAAGAATTAGGTGAAGTGATGGGACTTCTTTTCTCCCTTATCAAAAAAATGGATATTGTGATGAAATCAGATGAAACACCCGATGCAGGACACACCTCAGGTCATCTGGAAGCAAGTAGAGAGAAACGTTATAGGGGAGATTTTTTTGGGTCCCCTTTAGGTGCCAATATTAATCTGGTGGCGAAAAAGAACATTCAACCTAATCAACTTCCTTTTGTGTTGGTTGTGTGAGAGATGCCATTGTTTTGCCTCTGGAGGTTTCATTAGAGCCGCTGTCGAGGGCATCGCATTGACAAAGTTGAAAAATGATTTATCTGCGGCCATGTGCTGACACCCTCATCTGTGCACTCTCCCACCACTGGAAAAAGGAGGGATCACATTTGTTTTTGGCTATTTGACATGCTCCAGAACGACTTGTCTAATGAGCTGAACCTCTTACGCCATATAGCTTCCACATTTCTTATGGTCATTAATTAGAGCTGTCAAAACTTTTTTTTTTCTTCCATAAAGTGGTTGAATTAAACACCATTAATTAAATATATATCAAACACATATACATTATGAATTTATTATTTTATATCAGAATTACTGTAGTGGTCATCATTTATGAAAGGTTATTTTTGTTATTTTTACATCAATACTTTCCTTTGTGTTTTATTAAATATGTATTCTAATTAAATTTTTAAAAATCAATGAAACAGGTATTTAATAAAATAGAATTTGTTTTCTTTCACATGCTGAATGAAAGGCAGTTTTTCTTTATTTGACACACTGAAAATTTTGAGAATCAGTTATTTCAAAAATGCCAAATCCACACCCAGTCAAGTAAAACTTTAATCTTCATGCTTTTGTGATTAAAAGTCTTTCTGTATAGTATTAAAACACTGAAAGAAATCAGTGGCAGACTGGCTTTGAGAGAAAAACGGAATGGCACTGCAAAAACGCACACACACACAGACACACACACACACATGCAGGTTTGTAATTATATCATTGTGGGGACCCTCTATTAATTTCTATGGGGAAAACTCGAATCCCAACATGACGACCTTAACCCCTACCCAGCCCTAACCTTTAACTTTTTGCATTTTTAGTTTTTTGATTGCATTCACAGATCTTTTTGTGGACATGAAAAATGGTCCCCATAACGTCAACATAACAGGTTTTTATTACATTGTGGGGGACATTTGGTCCCCACAATGTAATATAAACATAATCCATACACACGCGCACACACACATGATTATTGTGATACTTCATTGTATGCAGAAGAGTTGAAAGGAGAGATTTGTTTGCTGGGGAGCTCAGGCTCTTTGTTGCCATGGCGCACGGTTGCCGTGCGATGCCGTGTGGCCTAACACTGCATGTCACTGCTGATTTTGATGAATGGGCGTGAATCTGCCCCCTCGCTCACCGTGCCACAATTCACAACAAATGCACCTCCTGTCGAGCCTGTTGTACGATCATTTGAATAATTTGGAGTTAATCATTTGCGTGTCCCAGCCCCTGATAGGAGGGCGAGGCCTTGTGGGTGAGCACGGAGCTGAGACTTTAATCGGCTTGCCAACGAGGGGAGAGACAAATGGGCCCGATCCACAGAATCCAAATCTATGCCTCCGATACAAAACTCTAATTAATTTTGTGTAGTGTTTCAGAATTGATTGTAGTCATTTCTATTTTTAATTTTTCTTCTCTTTCTTGGGCAACCAACTCCTCCCCAATCTTTGTTAGTCATTAAAGACTGTGTGTGATTTCCACCATCGTGTCTCTGTGTCTACACACATGCAGGAACTATATCCTTTTTATTATCTGCCCCTACAACATGTGTGGTATGGAGTATATCACACCATCCGTCCCACAGTTACTGACGTCGGGCTTCTCCAGACAAAGTAAATACCCTTTAGAAGTAGCTGGACTAGAATCTGATATTAATTTACCTGCCGTACTTCCAAGCTTTTGTTCTTGGATATGGTTTGTGTCACTTAGAGAATATGGCACTTCGAAATTGAGCAGAATGAATGCGTATGATTACAGTATCGTCAAACACCACATGTATAACAATTTTCTGTTTTTAATTGTACATCCCCCAGGGGACCCTTTTTATATGTTTATTTATTTATTTTCGTTGCTAGTAAAAGGCAAGGAAAAAAGTAATTGTTTCGTTACAACCATTTTTTATATAATTGTTTGTTTAATAAACAGCAATAAAAACCAATCACCTGCATTTTGCTTGCTACATGCTCCCATTTTATTCTGATGCCTCTTCCTCCTGCTTTATATTAACAGAAGAGATATTGAGCATTTTGCTAATAAATATTTCAGCTTGCTTATGAAGGACTAACGCTGTCACATTAATATGGAATTATAATTCTTCCAGGATTCATTATAATTTCATGGCTGTAATGACAGCGAGGCAGTGGAACATTTGCAGGCCTTTCACAGGACATTTATCCGCTACATCTCCCTGAAGGACACCTGCTTTTTCGGTTTTTTTTTGAGATGGAGTGTTCTCTTCTAATGGAAGCTCAGCCTCGAAGCTCAGCTGGGAGTCCAACGTCGACCGAAGAACAACATCTTAACCTCAGCATTCCTCGAACCTCACTCCTTCGGGATTTTTTGCTTTGTTTTATCATGATACTGTGTGTGTGTGTATGGGTGTCTGTTTAGGGGGGAAGTTCATTCCATTTCTTATCACTTACTACACAGCAATTAGGAATTAACGCCACCGCCTCGATTGTCCTACTGCAAATAATTCTCCTAATTCCTAAGTATTGATCCTGGAGTAAGCATAACCAGGCATGTATACATGGGTGGGGCCACAGGGGCACCGGCCCCTGCTGAAAGCTGATTGGCCCGAGAGTGCCTCCTCCCCTGTCACTCACTGATTCAAAATATATCATTGGCTAACGATAAGGTTGCCTACTCGATATGAATTACGGCCCTTCTTATCCCCGACTATAAAAAAAATCCTAGAATCATCCCAGAGCATTACACACCAAATATCAACATTTTGAAACACTTTAAATTTCTAAGGATTCATTTTAAATAAGTGTGATCTCATTGAAGTGGACTTTGCCTGACTGACATTGTAATGATGTTATTGCGGCACGTCGACGGTGTCACCAAACACAAATGACGACACGGGCTTGTCGCTCAGCGTGCTCTTTTAACCCGCGGAAGGTCCACACACAGGGGCGGATTAAGGTGTACAGAGGCCCCTAGGCTACAGTAGTCTGTGGGCCCCCCAAACCCGCCCCCCTCCGCGCCAATGGGGGCCCCCTTGCAGGCTGGCACACGTGGGGCCCCTAGGCTTAAGCCATATCTAGCCTGTGTGTTAATCCGCCCCTGCCCACACACCGCAAACATCTTGTTTTGATTTAGCCAGTTGGCACAGTTTGCTGTTGTGTGATGAACGGCCATAACAAGTGAACAGAATGACAGAA